CTGAGCAGTAATCTGCTCTAGGCGATCATTGTTAACATGGATTTTATTGTGATCCACATTAAAGCTGATTTCACTTCATTTGTACTTTGATCTTAAAAATCTACTTTCGTTTGAAACTGCGGTTTCTGTTTGGATGTCCTAACGACACGCTGAGAAACCAGTTCAGCAAATAATTTTTTTTCTTTAGATGTGAAAGTAAATTGAATTAAAAGCATCCTTTAAAGTTTTTTCTTCAAAATATTTTTTAAGAATACAAGATAGACTAGTGCTGCAAATGATTTGGTCAAGAAATAAACAAAAAAAGTCAAAAAGCTCCAAATTATAAAAGATTTTTAGTGCAATTTTCCAATCCTGAATTTAGAAGGATGTTGATCTGTTTCTCTCTTCATATTTATTCAATTTATTTTTTATTTTTGGTCATTTCTTTTAAACTTGACTGATTTAAGATTGTGTTTTTTGCTCACTTTTACCAGAATGTCTGCTTCTGATACTCCAACAGGACACACATATTCACTTTTAATTATTAATTGGACCACCAAAATAAGAGGTTTTGCTTTAAAAATTTTAGAACCATTTAAAACCTCATACTTTGCACTGCTTTAAATCTGAACCTGTAATCTATAAATGAAGAGGCAAAAAACAAACAAAACAAGGTGACCATTTAGGTAGGAAGCAACTATGTCACATTTTTAAAGTAACATTACAGATACCTGTGTAAAAAAAATAGTATTGACAGAACTCTTTTACTTAAGTTAAACAATAAAGGTTCTACATTGTACTTAAGTACAAAGGTAAAATTAAGTTTTTAATCTTCAATTCTAAACATACATTTACAAAAAATATTCTTAAATAAAACTAGTTCTATACACAGGAAATATCTTTATTTTTCACTGCGTTGATGGAAGGAATATAAAAATTTACTCAGTCTAATATGTCCTAAATTAAAAATTCAGACGATAATATAGAATTAACTGAATATTTTCAAAGCTCTGGTACATATCACAGTGATAGCATTCAAACTTAGAACATAATTAACATATACATATCCAAAATAATAAAGGGTCAATGAATTGGGAATATCAGGAACCTAATTCATCATCTGCAATTTTTACCAGACCTCTGTCTTCATCCAGGTTGCTATCAGTTTAAAATAAATAGATAAATAAAAATACTGGGCTCCAACTGGACATATTCTCTCATTACTCTTCATTTCCCCCAGTTTTGTTGCAATGGTTAGGTTTAGAATTAACAAGCTAGTTTTAAGAAAGTAAGAAATATAAAGGACAGATATCTATGGTCAAATTTAGCAATAAAATAATGAAGAAAGCTACTTAAGAGCAACATGAAAGCATTTATATTTAGTTATTTTATACCTCAGAATGATGGAAGAACAGTAAAAAAAAAAACCCCAGAAAGAATGAAAGTAGATAAGAAATGAAGAACGAGAAAGTTATATCCCAAGGAAGGAAGGAAGGAAGGAAGGAAGGAAGGAAGGAAGGAAGGAAGGAAGGAAGGAAGGAAGGAAGGAAGGAAGGAAGGAAGGAAGGAAGGAAGGAAGGAAGGAAGGAAGGAAGGAAGGAAGGAAGGAAGGAAGGAAGGAAGGAAGGAAGGAAGGAAGGAAGGAAGGAAGGAAGGTTAGTTTAGGCAAAAATTCTACATTAAAAATATAACATCCTCCTATGGTTTTTGTACAGAAAAATAGAAATCTAACAAAAAACATGTTTATCAGTCTTCCGTCAGATAATTGATTAGAGGTGGATCTCTTTGTTAATTGAAGAGTTTATCCCTGTTTACCATACGGGGGTAAAGGTCAGACCTTTAGGTAAAGTGTTTACATAAATCACAAGGAATAAAGGCAAAAACATCTTTAAAAAGTGATGTTGGTGGAAGTTAAGAAAGTATTTCTGATGAGGATTGATTAAAGTTATGTTTTAAAGCTCTGAGCGTCTTGGCTGTAACACGAGATTCTGTATTTGGAAGGTTTAAAGACAGACATTACTGTTTTTATGCAACCTAATCACTGATAGTGGCACAAAACAAGGTCAAAGGACAGGAAGAGGAATTGACAGAGAGGGGAGTCTGTAAAACATGCTAATTTATTCTTGCTGTTTTATAGTTTACTGTATATCATGGAGGAATGCCATATTCATCCTGAACAGGTGTGATTATAAACCATATAATGCATTATACAAGAATTTATTCCTATTTAATAATGAAAAACATTTGGGGAAAATAATAACACATGCCACGCTGTCTTTAACAGCTGATGGTAAAATCCTACTTTATTTATATGCATGACAATAACTTTTCACAGAAAGAAAAAATTTCTCTCCCGAGCTGTAAGTTCAGTATCAAAGCCAGACACACCGTCTCTCTCTCTCACTCAGGCTGCATCCTCATGCTATTTTTGAGGTAGTGCAGAGGGCCGGCAGAGCAGTAGCCTTGATAAGACTTATTCGAAACGACTGCAGACTCTGAAGCTGTCAGCTCGCTGTTCCAAGGACACTCTTTACCAAACGAAAGAGTCGCTCTGGGTCACCAGCACATCCAGCTATGTAATTTGGTTTCCTCCTGAGCCATTTCCACCTTGAACTTAGCTCCTATTCTCCTATATTTTCCTGTAGCCATCTAATCTCTCTCAGTGCATGTGCGTGTTCCTGTGTGTGTTTAAAGAGCACATTCAGTTTGTGCTTGTGATATGTATTCAGTTGCTGTTACCAGACACATGCTAAATGGTGATTAAGAAAAAGGAGGTTTGTGTGAAGATTGTCCACTGGAGAATCTGTCACTACAGCTGTCACATAGAAGCAAATTACTTCTGAGGGTGACACTGACTCATCCACTGCCTCCTGTGCAAAACAAAAGCGGCCGTATGATGTTTTATTCATGAAGTGGGAATGATTCTGTCGGTATGTAAGTTTAAAACAGTATCCAAACAGTTACATTTAAAACAGCTAAACTCAGTTTATTTTTTAGTTATTTATGTATTTGTAATTTCTATAAAAGAATTTGTAACCATATTTTTTTTATATCCATCCAGTGTTATCAAATCCTGTTAGTTATTCCCTCTTCCATCTATTGAGAGATAGCACAATATATTCAATTTGAATTAATCATTTAATCCGAGTTTCAATAACAGGTTTTTTATTTCAAAAACTCCGCTGATTGTATCGACATTAGTTGTTCAACAATAGAAAAGAACCCCTTCTATTTAACAGGAAGTATTTGAAGTAGCAGATAGTAACTCCGTTAGTCACCCCCAGATGTCCTTAATGATAAATAATTGGTTGAACATGCAGTGTTCCTTGATGTAGCAAAGAAAAAACAAAAAAAAATGCATTTTACAATATTGTAACTTAAAATGTACCATTGTACATGAACCAGCTTGGAAAGCCACCATCTGCTATCTTCATAGTGTGCACCTTTGATTAGTTGTGCTTGTGAACAAAGATACAAACAAATCTTGGACATGTTCTGATAAACATGTTCGATTTTGTGAATATTAGGTGAACATAGAAGGGCAAATTGTTTTTCTAGGATTTAAAAAAAAAAGAAAGCTTACAATACCTCTTGTAAGATTGGTTAGGTTAAGTATTAGTTGGGTTATTATTATGCAACAAGCTTTTGTACAAACCACTGCCCCATTTTCAACTTCATTAAGTTGAAATACAGCACCATAATAACTCTAAACGTCTGGGTTAAATTGAGCTACAGCCATAATTAACTTTTAATTTATTGTCATGATATGTGATAAAGAATCTAATCGAAAATTTTATGACGAGTTCCACTAGGACAGGATATTGCACCTACTGTAGCATGCCTATCTGTTTTTTTAATAAAAGATCAGGGTGGAGTGACCTTAATGGACATGATAGATATGCTTTTTTTTGTAATTTTAGGGAAACAGCCTACAGTGAAATGCTATCAACCTAAAAGGATTATAATAAAATAAAATAAAAAATGCTGCTATAATAATTAAGTAAAAATTGGGATAAAACAAATTAATTTAAATCATTTTGTTTCATTAAATAAAAACACATACTGTACATTCTGGTCTCTTGTTCCTATGTCTATTGGTTTATTTATTTGTGTTTATGAGCTTTACATTCTAGGAGATAAAACTGTTACACACTCTTACTGTCCTGTTCCTCACGCATTGAAACCTCCTGCCAGAGTTCAGACGTGAGAACAGATTGCGATGCACAGTTTAGTCTCTGATTTTTTTTATTGGCTCTTGTCAAACGGGGTTTGTGTCCGATGTCCTGGAAAGAAGGGAGAGAGGTCCCAACAATTTTCTCTGCTGTTCTAACAGCTCTCTGAGGGCACCTACGATGTTCAGCTGCCATTACAGTGAGTCATGATGGATTCAGTGGTGCTGAATCCTTCATGTTAGTGAGAATTTATCAAGTTGGTGAGAATGGGAGGGGTAACCATTTTGGGATTTTACCAAAAACCAGATCAAAATTTTCAAAAAGGTTTGCTTAGGCTTGAACGCTGACTATGTTTTTTGTGGGATGTACAGTTATCTGTCCTATCTGTCCTATTAATGGAACAACTACAATCTGGGTAAAAATTTACACAAAGGAAATGCAATGTTAACGGCATATTAGAGATGTTTACACCTTGAGTTGTTGTCCATGATATCCCAGATACTTACATTGGCTATCAATGTGAATCATGCATGTATATGTAAGAAAAACAACAAACAAAATAAACTGAGGTGCAGACACATTCAAGAGCTATGTAAAAGGGGATAATCTATATTTGGAGGTCATAATTTGGACTTTAAAGCGTGACAAAACTCGAGACACTGCAAAAATAGTCTCCACCTCAAGTGTTTAAAATTAGTTGGTCGCAGACCAAGCGAACCGGCGACCATCAGAGAGATTTGAAAGCTCTCTAATCATTTTCTCATGATTATAATTTTTTATAACTACATTTTTGAAGTTATTGAGTGCTAAGAATAAAAGAACTATAATATAATTGATCCTACTTTACAGGTAAGGAAGTGGAGGATGCTCTCACGCCATCATAACGACAGCGCAGTCAAACAGAAGGAGTTGGAGTCAGATGTTCACATGGAAGGTTGTCAGTGCTGGGCGCTTCACACATCACCACTTCTGGCCAGCCCAGTGATCCTGGAGTGCTCCATCTGCAGCGGACCCTACATCAGCTATGCCATGGAGGATAACTGGCAGCCACGACAACGAACACAGGTTAAAAACGCAAATTCATGCATGAAATTAGATATATGAATTTTTTGGTTCAGTTTTGTAGAGGCTGTTTATAATTTTGTAATTTGTATTAATACATTTATTATCTACTGACTACTGGACTATTTTTTTTAATGCATTTTGTTCTTTACTTACCGGTAGTTTTTTTTTTAAACATGAGTATTATAGGTTCATGTATCATAAGCCAGGCAGATTTAGATAGAAGTAAAAGTTAACTCGTTGATCAAGACATTTCATTAGACCAAAATATAAACAAAAAAAAGGAACGCAGCATAGAAAGATCTGTAAAACATTGAATATAGTTGCAGATGTAGGGACCAGGAAGGCTGAGACATAGCGTGGGAAAACTATTCCTACAATACAAAAGCTAATCTCATTCAATAAACTTAACAAGAGTTTAATTGTAACAAACAAACAAAATGGCTAAAACTATGGCAGAAAGTAATGACAGTAAATACTGTCATCAGATGTCCTTTTCAATGTGTACCAAACTACCATAATTGTAGTTTTCTGGACTTTGAAAGATTTAAAAGTTGTTTTTAGTCTGCATGGTGTAAGGCCCAAAACAATAACATGTTGGGAACAATCCACATCTATCAGATTGAAAAGCAGATTGTTACCATGGAAACAGGCTGCTGGAAAGACTTCTCCAACAGGTAAAGAAAACAGTTAGAAAAAAATGTTGCTTAACAGAGAGTCTGCTAAGTTTTTCCTGGTCTAAACCAGATATTCAATCCTGCCTTTAGCTTGCAAATTCATTTTCTTTCAAATATAGGCCAAATTAAATCTATTGGATTCTCAAATGTGTTAGATTTATCGTTAGGAAGCTTTGTTTCAATTAAAACATTTTCCAAAATACTATTTTTTTTTTTTACTTTTCTTACTGAGTCTGTGAGAACTATTCTAAAACAAACACTATAACCTGTGTATTGAGGTATTCTGGGAACTGCATTCAAACTTAATAATAGGAAATTATTCACCATGAGTTCAGTCAAGGAAAATAACACAAATCATAACCATAAAGCCAGATTATCCAAAATTAGCTCCATGTTTTAGAGATTCAAATGCAGGTAAATTATTTAGAAATGCATTCCATGTTTCTTTTTTTAAAGGGATTATTAATACTTATATTTTTCATAATAAATGTCCCACATTTAACATTTTCTCCCCACATCTTTAAGTGTTTAGTTTGAATGTTTTTACCACTTAATTAAATGACCTTTGAAGTGATTTTTTTTTTTTTTACATTTGTGATAATACAACTACAAATTTGCACATAAGAAAGATGGTGTCTAGACACTCACATTGTTTATTATGATTTTGAAAACAAATCTCTAGAAGTAATCCTGACTATAAACACTTGGATCTGATCAAGTATTTTATGATGATCACAAGTTTAGATGCAGAAATTAACCTTTTGATTTGCATGTTTTGCTGCACATTTTGGTTTTTCTTTTAATTTTTTTATATATCTGAATATTAAAATCTTTTGTAACTGTTGCATAGAGTTTTTCTTCTTGAGCTCCACATCTCCTTTAACTTTTATGAAACATAAATTTACACACTCTGCTGCGTCAAGGAGCTTAGCTTAAAGTCTTCTTTTAGAATGATAAATATACTATGAAATATTAATAATCAGAAATTCAAGACTTTCTGTCTCTGTGGTTTGCACATCATCCATCAGCCCTCACTGAAGCCATAAACAACATAAGAGGAAGAGCATGACAGCGAAAGGAGGGCTCTTTTCTGCAGACGTGAATGTAGATTAAGTGATTGGTGGAGAAGGCAAGCTGCTGAAAACCACTAAATAAATGAGCAAAGAGATGAACTGAAGTAAACCACATGCACATATACTATACAAACCTCCTCTGAGGGTGGGTAAATCTCAGAGATAGAGTCATGGGAATTTGCAAAGCATTGAGGAATAGGAAGCCAGGCTAAGGCTGTACTAAAATAAACACAAGGCAGTTTGGAAAGTTGTTGATTGGCAGCAGCATCATTAAAAAAAGTTTTCTCAGCCATGTAGTGTGAAGGTTGTAGCACATCAAAGAAAATAGATAATGGAAGTATATCCTGTCAAAAATGTTAGAAATTCCCAGATTAATTACACTGAATTACATGAAGATAGTTGGATACTCTCTGATGTTTAATGTGTTTTCTAAGGTCTGTTACCTAATTTTCCTCTCTAGGCGATGGACCTGTACTATCATAATGATTCAGACCCGGACAGCTACTGTTGCCCTGGCGACGGCAGTGAGTATTCTGCAACAATTTCTGTTGTTTTTGTTCTCTAAATTCTCATTGTCCTCCCACCTTGTTCGTTCCATCTGTCCATAAGCTGTAACTGCACAGCTATTTCCATACTGGAAATTTTTTTCTTTTCTTATCATCATCCGTGGATGAATCACCTTTTTTCTAGGAATTAATAATGATCTAGTATTTGTAATGTTTTTGTCTTGCAATGTGGCTTTCTACTCTTCAAACCCTGGTGACTGGATCATACCTCACAGCTCAGTCCTCTGAGCAGACCGCTAAACTGTCAGGATAATTGCTGTTGTCGGAAAAGAAAGAAAAAAAACAGATTACCGCTTGTTTTGTGGAATGTGCAAAGGCGGTAGTTACAGACACGGTGATCAGGACAGATCATCGTGCACAAAGCATGGTGACCTTCTCAGTTTACAACCTCAGTCCAGCTGTTGATAGCGTGTGAGCTAATGTGATTGCTTCTTGGCCTAGATATGCACTACGGGGTGAGAGTCCATCTGTATTTATTGCCAAAATGACCCTAAGTCACTGAACTTTAATTTTCCACTGCAGCCTTCATTTATGAAACAAATGACAGTTCAGTCTAAAGGACAAGAAGCAGCACAAAAAAAAATGCATGTTTACAAATATGATAGGGATTATATGAAAAAGTATGTTATATCTAAAAAATAAATATGTCATCTTATATGAATAACAAGCAGTTTCTAAATGTTGCTTTATTTTTTATCCAGAAAAATTTTTCCTGACTACTCCCAGCTCAGAGGCTCCTGAACTTTACACTATAAAACAACATAACATAGACTGAAAGATATTAATGCGATATGTAATGCCCAAAGCTAAAAAATGGAAGAACATATGATGAAAAGAGTCTTTGACATCTATCAGTCTGGAAAGGATGAATAACATCAGAAGAGGATGGGATTTGCTGCAAGAAAATTATCCAGGTACAACTAGTTAAGTCTTTAGTAGCTAGAGAACCAACGAAAATAGTTCACAGATTTAAATTAAATGCCATGGCAAGCTTTAAACCCTTCATTGCATGTGAATTTTAACAAATGTGCAAAGTAATCATCGGCATATTTCCTCCACAGTGAAAGCTTAATTTCTCTGATAATTAATTTAGACATAGAAACTGAAAGATATCTGTATTTGTATGTTTGCTTAGAAGCAGAAAACTAGGTTAGTTCTGTGCAACTGCAGCAATTTTAGTTCAAGCTCTGCACTCCTCATGGAACATTTCCAGGAAGAAATGTGACAAGAGGCCTTTTTTGTTCAAAATGCTAGTTTTTTTGGCAGCGGACTGTCTGTCAGGAAAGAGAGAATTTTTTGGTGCAGGGAGAAATCCAAGCAATTATAGAAGCTGCTGACAAGCTGCTCCTGTGGCCCCTGCTGTCACACCGCTACACCCTGTCAGTCCAAGTTCAGTAATTAGTGGCTCTAGGAGAGCTTAAACATTGTATGATGTTATAAATCAGTCGTTTACAACAATACAGTCATGAATGTGACTGCATTGCATCATTTAAACAGGCATAGCTTTTAGCTGTATCATTTTACAGAAAAGCTTTATTTCCTTTTTCTGCACTTTTTTGTTTTCTAACATTGGTAGCATAGAGCCTTTGGTTAAAGGTAGCTTTTGTAAACTCAGCAGTAACTTTATCGTCCAATAAATTAGGATTTATACTCTGAACTGTGGTGCTCCTCTTTATCAGGCGCTATTATATAACTTATAATTAAGCCTGCAATTGACATGGGGTGTGTGTGTGTGTGTGTATGTGTGTGTGTATCGGCTCTGCAACTTTTTTTCTCACACTGTTATGACGTCAAACTCACTTGTACCAGCTTGCTTTCACAGCTTAACAGGCACACCTACTCCAATGCACGCACATATTCAGAAATAAAGGGAAACATATACTTTATAAATCCTTTAAAGACACCATGCTCAAGAAACTAAACAGTTTAAGGTATATGTCTGAACATGTTTACAGATCTGGTCAATTGTATAATAACCAGGTCACAAGCCTCCTTCCCAAAATGGGTAAAATGTCAGTAAATCTTTATAACATTTCAGTCTTTGGGAATTCTTCCTTGTGAAATATACTTAAAGATCAACTGTCGTTTTTTTCCAGGTTATATTCAAATTTACATTTCCTGTGAAAAACTCCCCATTTTACATGTTACATTTTACATTCACTAGCTTATGCATTTTGCATTGTGATTTCATATGACAGACAAAAACTCTTTATTTGCTTTTATGCAATAAAACCTAAGGTATTTAAATTCAAATTCAAAAATTGAAGTTATGTTCAGACCTCCAGACTCAATGCAAACACCTTCATAGCCATTACAGCTGTGAGTCTAGATTTACATGTGTCGTATAACTCCATTCATGAATAAAGCTCTGTCAGATGTTTAAACCTATAGATAGTGTTTTATAACCAAATCCTGCTTTAATCTTGTCCACTATTTTATCCTTGATATGTTTAGTGTATTGAATGGATCTCATCTTCCGATTAGCTTGCAAATGTTATTTGGATGATATTTGGATTAATATTGAGATTAAATTAAACATTGGCATACTTTCCTTATTGTTGAGGTGGCTCTTAAAGACATATTGGAAGACTATATTTATTTAGGGGTCTAGTTGAGCTGAATGTTGATAGACAACAAGTTAAGCAGCTTTTGTAAAAAAAAAAAATAAAAAATATATATATATATATATATAAAACAAAAACTTTTCTGTTACCAGTACCAATGCATTGGCAGTGGTAACAACTTTGTTATTGGATTGAACTTTGTTATTGGAATTTGACCAAATGTGATGTGGTTCAAAGCTATAAATAGTGCAATTCATTTCATTTATACTTCTTATGAATTTAATCGGTCTTACTGTGACCTTTTAAACTGATTTAAAGCAATCCTGCATTTAAAAAAAGGATATTTCTAAAAGTATTCACTAAAGCCTCAAACCGGGAAACCCTGGCCCCAGAGTGATGATGGTCACATGACTTCCCATTGACAGAGCTGAGATGACATGTAGGCCAATGAGGCCACATCTATACACACTGTGTCCACTCACAAAATAAAGGCCTTTCTGTTGTCCTTAGACTTAAAGGTTTTTCTGTAATGCTGTCACTGTGGCTCATTCACATTCATCAGCAGGGTGACTGATTCTCCAAACATCCTCTTTATCTTGAACAGAAACAGTTATAATTACTGCAAAAGATTTGATGAACAGACGACGTCTGTGATGGGGCACAAGGATCACTGATTACTATGAGTTCTCTGTGAGTGATTTGCATTCATGTCCCACACCAAAGCAAACCCCTCCTGTTCCTTTCTGTGTGAAAGCCAGCACATTTCTTAGGTATAAGCAAAGTGCCACTATAACGTGGTTACATAACACACCCTTGACCAGAACACACAAGGGCAACAAATAATACACAGATTGAATGTGAGGGAGCTTCCTCTTGTTGACGGCCTGGACACTGAGCAGCCAACAAATGAGAGACAGAGAGGAGTTTACACTGAGAGGGTCTTTTCTGATGTTCTTCCTCCACCTCCTTTTGGTCACATTTAGTTCTGGATCCTCAGATGCAGACTAGAGAGAAGAGCATTTACCACTATAGAGCTAATGAAGGGTATTCTTCAACATCCTTGTTAAGCTGCTTTACTCCCCAGTGACTTTGCACAAAAAAAGACTTTGTCATTGCTTTTTACTGCTTTTCAGGCATTATTATTCTCTTTGTGGAAAAGAGGACGTGTTGTTTTCTCCGTTGATGATCTCAGATTGTGTCCCTTGAGGGTGATGTCTTTGTTCTTTGCACTGTGTAAGATGGCACTGCTCCCACCTGTGCTGTCTTAAGGCAAAAACGTCTTTGTCAAACTGCACAGTGTAAAAGTGTTGCAAAGTTCCTGACTGTGCTGTGAGATAATATATGAAGGAAACCTTGAAAGAATTGAGAAAGAATGCCCTTTCTGTGTCACTGTTTTAGAAAAATGTATTCCTGGCTGTCTCTCTGCAGGTGTGCTTTGTCCTCCAGCTTGTGTGTGTGTGTGTGTGCTTTTGACTCCCTGCAGGTTTTATTCGCCCTTGGCGCAGTTCATGTGTGCCTGTGTGCATCAGGTGGCTGCAGAGGATGTCTAAATAACAGCTTTGACTGTGGCTATTGAATTAATGCAGACAGATCAAAATAAGATGAGGTCAAATTCAAAAATTATAGAGTCACTCATCCATATTAGCTTCCCCTAAACTATAATTTAGCCTTAATGCTTGCTTGTCTTTGGATCTGTTTGTCTGTTGTCTAATAATAGCTGCATATAGAGCAGCTGAGACACAAAGCATTTGTTTTCACCTTCAGCTTTGAGAGCAGCTTTCAGATCTATGCTATAATTCAATTCAATTCAGTTTATTTATAGCGCCAATTCACAACACATGTCATCTCAAGGCACATTACGGCTCACCAGATCATACAGTCAAATTGATATGAAGTTTTCTCTCTAAGGAAACCAGTTGATTGCATCAACAAATTGAATTGAAGGAAATCCCTAACACTAAGCATGCTTGTAATGACAGTGGAGAGGAAAAACGCCCTTTTAACAGGGAGAAACCTCCAGCAGAACCAGGCACAGTGTGAGCGGCCATCTGCCGTCGCCGACTGGGGTTCAAGGAGACAGAAGCAGAGATACAAAAGGCAACTGTAAAAGGCTTCCAGGAAACACACAGCCAGGCAGACGAGCTCCGAGCCAACTCTCATGTCAGAGGATGAAAACAGCAAATGCAGCCAGTCACAGTCAGAGAAACAGGACTACACTGAAAATAGAATCAAGAAAAATTATTTTAAAAAAATGGGGTCCCTATGTCATCCAACTATGATATTTCACCAGAGGGTAAAAGTCAACATGAATGTTTTTCATTTTCTATACTTGAATCTTTCTGACTGACTAAATAAAAATATAAAACCTAACTATGGTCACTGTGACCAGAATCA